TGAAAGGAGGCTGTATTGAGGTGGGGGCCAGTCTCTTCTACTGTGCCTGCAGTGGAATTAAGCTGAGACAGATGAAATTCAGATTATATATTAGAAAAAGGGTGGTCAGACACTGGAAAAGGTTGTCCAGGGCTTTGATGGAGTTACCATCCCTGGAGGTATTTAAGAATTATCTGGATCTGGCACTGGTGTTGTTTAGTAAACTCATGTTGTTTAGTGGTTTAGGGGTTGCAGTTATAGTATTGGGTTGATTGCTGGACTTGATGATCTTAAAGGTCTCTTCCAACCTTGACGATTCTATGATTCTATGAGAGGCAGGGAGAAAGAGTTGATGGTGTGGCTCTGTACATTAAGCAGTCTTTCAACTTTCTATCAAGGATAATGATGACAAGATTGAGTATCTGTGGGTAAGAATCGGGGGAAGGCCAACAACACAGACATCCAGGTAGGAGTCTATTACAGACAACCCAACCGGGATGAAGGGATGCATGAACTATTCTGTAAGCCTCTGGCTGATGTTTCACAATGGTTAGCCCTTGTTCTTGTGGGAGACTAACTTGTGGGATGCCTGCTGGAAACTCAACACAGTGGAGGGGAGGCAATCTAGAAGGTTTCTTGAGTGTGTGGAAGACAACTTCCTGACACAACTGGCAAGTGAGCTTAGTAAGGTGGGTACCCTGCTTTTTACAAAGAGAAGGGCTGGTGGGAAATGTGGTGGTCAGATAACATCTTTGGCACAGTGACCATGATATAATGGAGTGTTCAATTCTTGGTGAAGTAAGGAAGGGGTCAACAGAATCTCCACCTTGGATTTTCAGGAGGCAGGACACTTATTCAGAGAGCCCCCTAGAAAAAATTCCTTAATAAGAAGGGAGTCCAGGAAAGCTGGACATACTTTAAGAAGGAAGTCCTAAAGGTTTAGGAAAATACCCTCCCTATGTGCCCAATATTGAACTGGGGAAGAAAAACAGCCTGGCTGAACATGAAGCTTTCACCGGAACTTGGGTTTATGACCTTTGGAAGAAGTGGCAGTCAGGAAAGGTATATGAATGTCGTTACACCATGTAGAAAGAAAATTAGGAAGGTGAAAGCTCAGCTAGAACTTAATCTAGCCACTGCTGTAAAAGATAATAGAAATGTTTTTATAAATAGATGAACAACAAAACGAGGGCCAATGACAATCACCATTCTTTATTGGATGCAAGGGGATCATAGTCACCAAGATTGAGGAAAAGGTTGAGGTAACGCCTTCTTTGCATCATTCTTTAACAGTAAGGCCAGTTATCCTCATGGCAACCAGATCTCAAAGGTGGTAGACAGAGACAGGAAGCAGAATTGATCCCCTGTAATCCAAAAGGAAGCAGTCAGGGGCATGCTGAGCCACTTTGATACTCACAAGTTTACAAGACCAGATGGGATCCATTCTAGGCTGATGAGGAAGCTGTCAGAAGAGCTGCTCTCCATCATTTACCATTAGTCCTGGCTAACTAGAGAGGCCGCAGGTGACTGGAAGCTGGACAATGTGATGCCCATCCATAAGAAGGCCGAAAGAAAGATCCAGGAAACTACAGGCCTGCTAGCCTGATCTCAATGCCTGACACAATTATGGAACTGAGTGCGACTCGCATCTTGAGTGTGATCATGATGCTGGTTTGGGTTTGCCTTTTTTTCTTTTATGTTCTCAGTATTCTTCGTTCATGTATTTGTATCTCTGTAGCCTACTGTACTAGTTAGTTTTCCCAGTAATTTTCCATGGCCTTTCCCCGGGCAGGAAGACAAAACAAATTCCAGAGCTCCAAGCCCCAAGAAGTGCAAAGCCCCCGTGCTATCTTGTTTTTTTCCTGGAAACCAAGGCCGAGAGCAACTCTTTGAGATACATTTTATAGACTAAGTACAGCTCATACCAAGGGGGGGGCACCAGAGAAGGGGTTTGACCTGGGAAGAAATTGAATCACCACTTGTCCTCCTAATGAGCGCTTTTTCTCAATTATTCTAATTTCCCAAAACCTATAAATATGTACTCATCTCTATGGGGTGGACTTTTCTGGACATCTCTCCATAACTGCCTCTGAAAACCTTCAAATAAAGATCTGCTCTTATATTACCTCCTTAGTAAAATCATCTTGAGTTTCATTTCCAGCAAGTTAGGAAAAAGGCAACTATCACATGGCACATACAGGACAACCAGGCAATTAGGCCCAGCCAACATAGGTTTAGGAGGGGCAGGCCCTGCCTAACCAGCCTGATCTCTTTTTATGACCAGGTGACCCACTTGGTGGATGTGGGGAAGGCTGTGGATGTTGTCGACCTGGACTTCAGCAAAGCCTCTGACACCATCTCCCACAATACTCTCCTGGAGAAGCTGGCAGCCCATGGTTTGGAGAGGTGCATTCTTTGCCGTGTTAAGAACTGGGTAGATGGCTAGGCCCAGAGAATGGTGGTGAATGGTGTTGGAAGCAGTTGGTGGCCAGACACTAGTGGGGTTCCCCAGGTCTCCACTACTGGGACCAGTCCTGTTAAAAATGGTTATTGATGATCTGTACAAGGGGATCAAATGCACCCTCAGTAAGTTTGTGGATAGCACCAAGTTGGGTGCGAGTGTTGATTTGCTAGAGGGTAGGGGAGCTCTGCATATAGATCTGGACAGGCTGGATCAATGGGTTGAGGCCAGTGGTTTGAGGTTTAACAAGACAAATTCTGGGTTCTGTACCTTGGTCACAACATGCTCATGCAGCGCTAAAGGCTAAGGAAGATTGTATACCAAACTTTTCCAGCTGAGGAGAACTACAGGGGAATTAATCCATTTCACAGCTAATTAATTTACTTAACCAGCTTTTTAAACACAAGTATTTCAAAAAACAGACCTCTGCTTTAAAAAGGTGAAGTTCATCCAAGAAACATGCAGTCTCACTCACCCAGAAGTGCAACACTGGGCACAAATTTTCACTGCAAATCAGTGGCACAGTAGGAAGAGAAGGTTGTGGACATTTTCTACCTCTTCTTTTAACTAACACAACTAAATCTACTGAGAATATTTTCCTAAAATAAAATGGTATCTCCATCCACATAGTAGCTGGTGATTTTATTACAGTATTTAGAACAGGCAGAATTCTAGCCTACCACATTTTGAACTCAAAGATACATTCCTGGATACTACTAAGAACAAGTCCCCACTGTATTTGGCAGGATAGTTTTCTCCTTCTTGGTTAACATGTATTTATGCAGTGGGTATACAAAAATAAATGTTATAGTACAAACCATTTACAAAGAACTAAACCAAACCCAGTTCTAAACACACAATCATTTCCCTGAAGGAAGAAGACTTACTCGCTTTTTCCTGTGGATGAAGGTAGCAACTGGATTTGGGAGGCAACAAAGAGGCTAATGGAAAGTCACTTCTGGATCAGCAAGATCTAGGGCTTTTGAAAACAACACAAAACTAGCTATATTTAAGGACATTAGTATTTACATTAACACTAATTTTGTCTACCTGACCTCATCTGTGCCATATCTTCTGAAAACAGAAAACAATAGAGTCTTGAACTGGACTTCCAAAATGTAAGGTTCCTCCATAATCATTAGATTCTTTGAAAATGTCAACCCTTTATTATATTAATTTTGGTTCCTACTGTCCCTTGTGGCCTTTTAAAACTATTTTGACTTACAAGATAACAAGACTTCTGAAAGAGAATGCTACATTCCAGTTTTCCCATGAACTTAGTCTTTGAGGACCCCAGCACCATGCCTTGAGGCTACTTTATAAGGGCTTTGTCACCATGACTGCCACACCAGCTCTGAAGCTCTTGTCACAGCCTTGGCTGAAAGGACACTTCCCAGCATGCCCAGGGTCAAAATGCTTTTCTTACTAATCTAATTGAACAACATCTGGAAAACAAATGAAAAGGATTGTTAAACTGGTTCCCTCCCATCCAAATTGCAAAAGAAAACAAGTCAGAGAAATTCCCAAAGTGTGACCTTTTGAGTTTAAGCCCACTAATAAAAAATATAAGAAGCTTTGTTCATGTAACAGTCAGGTTTACAGCAGTGTTAAAGTTCCGAAGTTCTCCACAAATTCCCATCATATTGTTGCAACAACACAAAATTCATATACACAACAGCCCCACAATCCCTCTTCACAAAAACAAGTAATTCTTGAATGGATCTTTCATGCATAAATTTATAAAAATAAAGCATACTTGAATAAAAAGTCATGTCTCCAAAGGGCAAGGATTATAACTAAATACAGATCAAAATACTTGATTACAGAGTGAAGCAAATAAAATGTTTTAGTTACTATTTTTTAAAGTAGCATTCAGGGACCTTATGAGCAGAATCAGAAAGTAATGCTCCAGATGATGATGCTATCGTATCAATAGAAAATTACTTTGTTAAGGTTAAAAACCAGATCTAACCATCTACTCCAGACAGACTTCTCATAGCTAAAAAAAGAGGAGGGGAGGGGAGGGGAGGGCAGAGGAAGGGAAGGGAGGGGAGGGGAAATGAAGCATGGGCTGTCCTACAATAACAGTAGGAGCAGGTTTCTCCGGCCACATGACTGGATGTGTGAAGTCCTCAAGAAAAGAGAATAGTTCAGTCAGACAAATTTTTTGTTCTTCTGCCCACTGTTCTCCCCTCAGACAGTTCCCATGTCCCCTTCTGCACTAACAAAGGCTTAACCTGGAAAGAAGGCCAGGACCTAGCCTTTCACAAGAACCTACTATGTTAAGGGAAGAACCAGAAGGAGTAGGACATTTCTCATCTTTCTCTTCCCAACATAAACACTCTGAAACAAGAAAGTGACCTCACTTTGTGCTGCCCAGCCTTGGAGGCTCAAGCCTTTAGTATGTCACAGAGCAGTACTGGAGTTAGTAATAGTAAAGATGGCACAAAAAGGTTACTGTGTGCAAATGACCCAGAGCTTGGCAATCCAGTTTTAGAGCCACCTCTGCTGTAAGTTCAGCCACAGGACTTTGTGGGAAATAATGTAGTCCAAATCTGACCTGATTCCTTTGTGCTATCTTTTGTCCTTTCTTCCAGCGAAGAATGGGCTTCAGAGTAGTTAGTTCCTTGTCCTCTTTTCCTCTTTCTATTGCATGTTCCCCAAGGCTGTATGATGCTTCAAATACAACTGGAGAGATGACATCCTTGACTCTTTTCTGTATAAGAAGACAATCACGTATTTCACCTATGCATATAGCCAAGCAAGTTTCCAGCTACAACAATTATACATTCAATTAAACAAGATCATTTAATTAAATATGCAATTAAACCAGACTGAACACAGCAGACAGGTTTCTCTACTTCCTTTATCTTTCTCCAGGTCAAACAGGAATAAGCACATTACAATGAACAAGTCAGAAGCTTAAATTTTTTTTTTTTTTAAGTTATTCTTTTGGGATCTACTCTTCAATACACAAAAGCAGAGGAATATTTTGCCCACCTACAAATCAAGTGGTTTTCAATTAAAATATTTTCTTTTAAATTAATAGAAAGCAATTAAATTATTCCTGCAAAAGCAAAGATCAAATAATCTTCATATCTGGGGTTTCAAAATCCTAGACTTTGACTGAGATCACCTCCAGTGAGCTCCACTCATTAAAAGAACAGAAAACTCCATCTTCCCTTGTTGTTTTGCAATACCAGTGAAATAAATGAATGAGTAAAGGTACTAATGTGGCTATAAAATAGGATTACAGACATACAGGGGCAAGAAAATCCATCTTCCAGCATGCTTCTCAAAGCGAAATTTACAGTTTTCCCCATCCTCAGCACAGCAACATTTCAGTTTGTAAAAGAAGAAAGTTCTTCAATTTCTTTATTTGCATATTGTAGGCTTCATACCAGGTGTATCGAATGGTGCCATATTATCTGGCTGATGAGACAAAAGGATCACCTTTTCTTGTTGCTGGAATGAAGCCATAAAATTCATACCATTTGTCACAACATGCAATGCCTAAATCCAGACTGCTGTGCCAGGACAAAGTGCTCATTGTGCTCTGTTCAGTCCTGATTTCCAAAATCCAATTTACCAGAAAACTTAAGTCCAAATGCTCAACCTTTTCATAGCAAACATTCCTCTTAAATATTAGTTACTTAAAAACATGGCATTAATTCAGCACAGACGAAATTGAGGCAATAAATAAATCCTATAAGTAATCACATCAAACCTCCAGATAGGCCAGCTCTCAACTTTGCCTTGCACTGGTTAGTGGGTTTCTCTAAACACAGCCCACCAACCACAAGAAGCAATTGAGATACAATGCCTTTAAAATTACATCTTGCAGATGTGGGAAACCTGGGTACTAACTGCCTTTCAGACCACCCTGTTTGATCTGTTTCAAGACAACCATTTGCTCTCTCCAATATGTTGACTGTCCACAGATCTCTGAAGTCAAAGATTAGTGGCTAACCAAATTCCCAAATCATTGGTTAGTTGGATGAATAATAGCAAATATCAGGCTGGATGACATTTACCCTTCTGCACCTTCAGCTAGCCCTCAAATTCCTACCCTAATATGAATGTCTGCCAGCACTCTAAAGTTTAGACTGCACGTTGCTTGGAGCAATTTGTGCTTTCTTGGTAAAGAGCACTGAACAACAACAGACATAGCAGCAGTGGTGATAGCTTGACCTCTTTCCAGTCCCATAAAACGGACTATGCATGATCTGCAGCACTCTTAATCCTCTCAGCAGAAGAGACACTCATGCCTGCAGCCCCTTTCTCAGCTGTATTCCTAGGGTAGGCATTGTACCACACTGAGACTACAACTCAGAGAAGCTGGTAGCTTTGCTCTCACAGAAAAACAAGTGTATTAACTTAAGTAAGGATTGTTATCAGCCTATGTGAAGACTTTGTATACAGAGAAACAAGACTATAAAAGAGCATGCCATACAGCAACAGTCAAACACAAACCATCAGGCAAATTGCCACTTAATCCAACTGTATGCAACCAATTATGTAAACACAGAACAATAAAAAGGTATGCAGTGGGTTAAATTCAAATCCACCTACTATTTTTGTAACTTTATTACTGCAGTATGGTAAGAATAAGTATTTAATCACTTCTACATGTTTTAATACTGTCTTGTAGGGTTCAGTCCAATGCCCTTCAAAGTCAAAAACTAAGTTTCCTATTGACTTTGATGGACATTGGAGTGCATCTTTATTGTTTGGTGGTGTTCTACTTTATTTTAGTGGTGAAATTGTGACTTCTCCACCACCACAGCCCTGGGAAATACATTTCACAGACCCATTTATCTTTAAGTAAGGATAAAATTATGAATGCTGCCCAGTTATTAATTTTGCCACACTCTCCCTTCTGCTCACAATCTTTCAAAAACAAAGGCAACAGCTGATGTAGTTAATTTGGAGGGAGGGGGGCTCCCCAGGGAGTCCCCGGAAAGCCCCCTGAGTGTTGGCTGGCAGCAGCAGGCAGGCAAGGAGACTCCACACAGCATTTGAGGGTGCTAATTAGATGAATGTTTACTGGGGGTCCTACCCCCGGGAGCAGCATGGTTACTGAGGGGGAAGGGGGAGAGGGCCTAGGGGAGGGAAGGGCCAAGAGAGGAGGGGAAGGGCTAAGAGAGGAGGAGAGGCTAAGAGAGCCTCTGATTTCGGTAGCACAGCTTAAGAGGGGAATTCAAAGTGGGCGTGGAATAACAGTTGAGCCAATGGGATTACAGATACACGATGGTTCAGGACAGGACCACAGGCTTAGAACATACCATACATTTTGGAGTGGTGAGACAGAGCATACCATTTAAATAAAATGCAATACTACAAACAGCCTGTGGCATTTGCTCTCAGTAAGACAGAGACAAGACAGTTCTGTCTGACCTGACCGCTACACAACAGACTGTCTGGAATATGAACATATAAAGAGAATCATCTTCTTTCATTTTCAGTTTACCCAAATGTATTGCTTCCTGTGTTGAATCATATATTGATGACACAGATAGCTTTTAAGTATTTTAAGATGTCCAAGGAGAAGTCAAAAGATTAAATGCAAATAAGGTTTGAGATAGATTGAAAAATCCTTTACTGTAAAAACTGTACATTTTTTGTATAAGTTGCATGACCTTAATGAACTGGATTTGTCAAGGGAAATGGGTTCCACAAGCAGCTTTTACATGTAGTCACCGTTTGACACCACAAGGCTTATATGCTTTGGAAGTGGTATAGGCTAAAGACATTTCTGAGCCCTGAAAAACCAAACCTAGCAAATCATAGCATATGGAGAACACAGATTCAGTAACTGAAAAAAAGTCTTGAAGACATTACAATGTGTGTAATATACAAGGAGTTCCAATTATGAACAGAAACAACTATGCAACTAGGGATTAGTAAGTAACAGCAATAAATACTTAATCTGTACAGACTGGAGTCACTGAACTGGTGCAAGTTTTCACCATGCCTGAATTGGAAAGCTTACCCTAGCAAATATGATAACAAAAGCTTGCTATCTCCTCTCACAGAACAATCATCTCAAAGAAATTTTTGAATGTTGTGGCAGTAACTGTACATGGCCACATATTCCTTCCTTTTTTATTTCTCTGATTTAGCAGAGCGGAAGAAAGCAAGAAAGCAAAGTCTCTGCCAGATTTATGACTATCGGTTTGACTTTAGTACCAAAAAGTCTTTAGAATCTGAAAAGTGAGGAAAGAGCAATGATCACATGTCACATCTGTGATTCTGAACATAATTTCCAACTGATGATGGAGGTGTGATAACTGTAAGAAATAATTTTTTAGTACTATTAGTAAACATGGACTAAGGCACATCAATGACAACACACAAATATAGAGTCCAACATCTTAAAGGCACATTGCCTTGGCAGGCAGCCACCGCCTTTTACAACCTTAACTTTAGGCTACCAAGAGCCCACACACATCAACAATTCAAGCAAATATGGCTGGAACAAGACAGAGTTTTAGTCAAGGGATAGGATTTATTCTACTCATGGTGCAAGTGGTTGCCAGACAGGATATAATTTCAGCTTTCTTTTGGCTCAGTGCCACAGTAGACTCAGGGGACTGTACCTGAGCTCAATAAATCATCACATTTAATCCCCTTTCTTCACCAAGGCCAAAATCTCCAACAAGGACTCTAGAGAGTACAAAATTCCATTTTTAATTATGGCCAATGTGCTGAGAAATAGATTGAGATGTAAATATTGCCCACAAGTTACAGCAGGAATAAAGGATGAAACACGACCGATTAAAAAGAATGAAAATTAACTAATTTTCAGCAGCATCATCTGAAGAAATACACATAATCATCAGGATGACTTCTACAGTTGCTTGGTGCTTTTGTTCATGTCTTTCTGGAGTTTCTCTTTCCTTTCTCTATGGGAAAGTTCTCTGACCTGTCTGGCCTTTTTTGTTCTCTCTCTGACTTGATCCTCAGGATTTTAACCCATGCATGAATTCCAGAGCTTTAATTGAATTCAGCACAGCTTTTCAGTACTTTTGAGAATTAAGTTCTGTTTAGTTAAATGACAGAGAATGAATTCCAGAACCCATTTTTTAAAACACACAGATTGAAACTTTTAGTCTAAATGTATTTATTTCAGGTGCTGAATAACAAACACTAAAATTAGACTAGGAATTTTTACAGGCTCAAATATACAGAATAAATTTGACAATCCCAATTTAACAGACAACATATTTATGCTGCAAAATGTAAGACACTATGCTAATGCTAATCCAGCACACAACTTTAATCAGCTCATAGGTCACTACCACATAAATACTCAGCTCAGTATCAAGAGATAAACAGTTCCCTGACCAGTGATCTCAAAAATTACTCAAATTCCCACCAGCCTTCAGAAACAAAAGCCACTACCGCCACAATCTATCAAATGAAATCACTGCTGTAGGTCTTAATAAACATACATCTTAGCTTATGAAGCAATAAAGATGACAATGCTTGACATCAGAAGTATTGTACTCAGAGCTTAGGAAAGACAAAATGAAGGGGAGATGGAGAAGACAAGGATGTCAAGGCTACAGGCCAGGATGACAGAGCTACAAGCAGCACATACCACATCCTAAAAATCACCACCAGCAACATCTAAATGCTTTGTCATACTTAAGAAAAATAGCTGTGTAGGGAGCTTCAGTAGCAGACACAGTCAAACAAAATAATCACAGATCA